GGACTTTGCTCTGGGTGCGGTTTTATCACAAATAAGAACAGATGACAAACTTCATCTAGTAGCCTTTCATTCAAGAAAATTCTCAATGGCAGAAATCAATTATGAGATCCACGACAAAGAACTTCTTACAATTGTGGATTCTTTTCAAGAATGGCATCATTATCTAGAAGGCGCTTCTAGTCCAATCATCGTGTATACGGATCACAAGAACCTCGAATATTTTATGTCAGCACGCGTATTAAATCGTCGCCAAGCTCGTTGGAGCATGTCTTTATCAAGATTCGAGTTCATCATCACTTATCGGCCTGGAAAACAATAAGGATTATCTGATGCCTTGTCTAGACGTTCTTATCTTGCACCAAAAGAAGGAGATGCAGCTTTTGAGCAACAAAGAACGGTTCTCTTGAAGGCGGAACAATTTCATCTTCGAGCAATAAAATCAACATTGACTGTTGATTTAACTTTCCTTAAGCAAGTCCAGTTAAGTATGTCTTCAGACCCTCTTGTTTATGATATCAAGAACAATTCTTTTAAATCTCATGATCCATCTAAATTTGAATTCAAGAACAACCTACTCTATTTCAAAGGACGCCTATATGTTCCAGAAGGAGAAGCTCGTTTACGTGTTTTTCAAGCTCGTCACGACTTCCCAACAGCAGGACATTTCGGATATAATAAGACTTTGGAGCTGATATCTAAGAATTTTTGGTGGCCTCAAATGTGGAAGGCAATTAAAGATTTTATACAATCATGTGAAGTTTGCTCAAGATCGAAAACTCCTCGTCATCGACCTTTTGGACTTCTTAAGCCATTACCCATTCCAGAACAACCATGGTCTTCTGTTTCTATGGACTTCATCACTGATCTTCCAATCTCAGGTTCTTATGACTCTATATTCGTGATAGTAGATCGTTTTACCAAGATGGCACATTTTGTACCATGTACAAAATCTATCACAGGTGAAGAAACAGCTAAGCTCTTTCTTGACAATATCTATCGCTATCATGGATTACCTAAGGATATTATATCAGATAGGGGAACTCAATTTGTATCAAGATTCTGGCGAACTCTTTTCAAAATTCTTAAAGTGGATATAAAACTATCTTCGACATTCCATCCTCAAACTGATGGACAAACGGAGCGTGTTAATCAAGTTTTGGAGCAATATTTAAGATGTACCATTAATTACCAACAAGATGATTGGACAACTCTTTTGCCATTGGTAGAGTTTGCTTACAATAACCCGGTACACTCTTCTACAAAATAAACACCTTTCTTTGCTAATTATGGTTATCATCCACGACTTGATACTTTTGACTTTTCAAAAATTGGTAATCCTGCTGCGAAAGATTTGGTAATTCATTTATCAGAGCTACATGCAACGATGAAGGCGCAGTTAAAAGAGGCTCAACAACAAGAAAAGGCCAATGCGGATGTCTATCGAAAGGAACAACCATCATTCGTCTTGGGTAATAAGGTATGGCTACTTCGTCACAATATCAAGACCACTCGTCTTTGTGACAAGTTGGACTATCGAAGGCTGGGACCATTTTCTATTTCTGCACAAATCAATCCAGTTGCATATCGTTTACATCTACCGGAGTCAATGAAAATCCATCGAGTATTCCACGTGTCTCTTCTTGAACCATACAAGATAGTGGACATACCAAGAAGACGACAAGTTCCACCTCCTCCTATAGAAGTAGACAATAATGAAGAGTTTGAAGTAGAAGAAGTCTTAGATTCAAGGTGGTGCCAAAATAAATAAGAATATCTTATCCATTGGCACGGATATGGTATTAGTGAACGCACATGGGAGCCAATAAAGAATCTTGCAAATATAACAAAGGCGATGGAGGCTTTTCATCGACAACATCCATCAAAATCAAGATGAAAACCTTCTTTATAAAAGAAACAACATCTAGGCAAGATAACATTCTACTTTCAATTCTTGTTCGTAGCTTCGTTGTAGTAGTGGCGCTCAAGAGATGGAGAACCAACAACCAGCGGATTCAACTCAAGAGCCTTCATTTGCTGACATGTCGGACGAGATATTACGATTGTCACAACCTTCAAGACGACGCAATCGAGATGAAGATCTTCAAGAACGACATGTTCTTCCTCGAATAGATGGTGAGATACAATGCGTTTGGTATCACGATTTGGGAAGGAACTCCCGATGTTTGGTGATTTTGCTAGAGGTAGGAACAACTCCTGATGGTGTTCCAAATATTCTATTCGAAGGAAGTTACGAAGGCCTCAACAATGATCAAATAACTGGGTGGTCTTCCCGCCCTGGTATGGGACACTACCGATGGTTGAGAGGCCCTATCAATCATCTTCGAAGAGAACAGAGATCAGAGTATGTGGCGAATACAATTTGTCGCATCATAAATTTCCTCAACATATGATGACTGCTCCTCGTGGAACTCGTCTCTAGAAGGGGGGGTAATGTCACGGCGATAATCATGTAAGCTAATAATTACATATACAAATAGGTAGAAGTAAGTAAAAGTAGATAAAAGTAAGTTAATTCTATAATATTTAATATGAAAGCTTCTTAGAAGCTTCATAGACGTTGCTTTGACTTCATAGGTATCTTTAGTTGATTTTTTGGATTAGAAACGTGGTCAACAAGTTGGCCATGTGCCACACATGTTGTTAGCTTGAAGATCAAGCTAACTATGTGGCCCACACGTAGAAAAACTTACCTTGTAAGTCAAGGCATGTGTCCTACAAAGTCAACATATATTGGAGGTCCTATAGAACGTCGCCACATAGCCCCTAGTTAGATAATATATATAGAGACAAGAATGAGGGCTTCTTCACTCTTGTCAACTCCCTTCTTGTTTCTAGTCTAGTTTCAAGGGTCTCTAATTTTCTTGTCTTTTGGCAATAGCCATTCCAGTTTCTCTTTCAATATATATACTTGTTTATATATATTTTTTTACCTTTTTTTGAGTGAAGGCTCACTTGTCTGAATTGTTTTTTCATTGAGTTCTTGTCCTTGACAATACCATGTGGTAATGTTTTTATTCTTTTAGTGAAAGATACATTGTGACTCCTAAGTTAATTCAATTCCCCTTGATAGCTCAAGTCCTTTTTCATTGTCTTCCATGGCTATGCTTAAGTCCTCATAAGCATCTAATTACAAAGATATAAGGCACAAAGTGAAAAGTAAATCAATTATGCATCCATTTTCTTGCACTACCAACATGTGGACTAGGCTGTGCTTTACACTTAGAAATTGGGATTAAAAGTGCATCTCGTAAAATCCAATGCCCATCACTCTTCTTCCTTTGTACCTCTCTCATAGCTTGTACTTTTTATGGATGGAGGAGATCGCGATTTTGACTTTCTCTTCATTAAAGATCGAACTTCACCTTCAATAGGCAAGTCTCTTCTTGAGCAAAAAATAAATAAACGTCGCATATAGCAGAAAGTAGATTCCTACCTACAATACATTGTTGATCTAGAACCATGGTTTTATTAAGGATCTGTAAACTTTGAACGACATTAAGTCTTTTGATAAAAACTAAGAGGGGTGCATGCAGTGAATGAGAGTCACTTCTTATTTCCTTTAGCAATCTTAATATGTAAATAATAATATATGTCTATTTCATCTATTATTGTATAAAATGCAACATGTAAAAAAAAAGGTGGAAAAAGAAATCCAAGCCCAAAATGATTAAACTTGAAAGAAAAATAAGCAAAGTTGACTTGAATATGGTAAGAACTTCAATACAAGACATACACTAACAACAAACAAAGAGACAAGAATGAAGGAATATCTATGTCACCAACAGCCACATGAAGTGCAGAATGTGAAACAGAGGGTAGCAAAAAGAGACCCAAGCCCCAAAAACAACTGAAACTGCAAAACAAAGATGAGTTAGATATAAAAAATAAAATAAAATAAAAGTAAAAGGGCGATGAGCAATGAGGCTAGATGAATCCCAAAGTAGATGAAACCCACAGTGGATGAAACCCTAAGTAGGGTTACGTGGGATAACCTCAAAGCAAGCAAGCAGACAGGCAGAGCACGTGGGGGCCATTTGGGGATCCGAGTTATGGAGCTATGCAGCTACATTCCCCTCGAGTCGGGCGCACAGGTTACAGCGATCTGGTTGGTCTTTAGCACGGACGCCGAAGCCCAGACAATTGTCACCACACGGCGCTACCGACGCATCCACAACGTTAGCACCGCAACGTCCGGATTCGTAAAGATAACGTGTTGCAGATCGTTGGACAGATTTTTGGACAGATTTTTGGACTGCTTCCTAGATGCTCGGTGTCCATGTTCCATGCTGGGGTGGGGGGAGGAAGAGGCCATGCCGCGCATGAACCATGTTCGCTGCCGATGACTGCTTGCTTGCCTGTTTGCCTCATCCTGAACATCGACCCAGGAACGATGTGCATTCTGGTGGCATTTGCCCCACCCCACTCGGGTAAAAGCTGTTGTCTGCGTGTGTCTTTCACGTGGCAGCGGGCAGCCCACGCCGAGAGTCGTCACGAGCGAAGCATTGCTGACTTTTGAATAGTCGTGGCCGAGAATGTGACAAGAATGGGCTCTGAGATGCGACAATGCGTGGGAACAAGTGTCGGTTCTAGAGGATTTTGTTACCATCCATTTCAACGACTGAACCCTGATCTGGTGCACCAAAGCCCAGTGCTGTTATCACGTGGTTATGCCCCAATTCAGATCTTTCAGGACTCTAATTTTGAAGTCTATAAGAAATGCTCGAAGCCGGAAAATGCGCGGCTCTTTTCCCAGCGTCGACAATGCTGAGAAGTGCGCAAAATGGAAATAAGTCGACTCTTCTGAGTCTATGAAAAGAAAAAGTCCTCCAGGGGTTACATTAACAGCTTGTTTGCTTGAAATTTCAACGTGGGAAAATTATACTTTTTTCAAAGAATCGAGTGCAGACTGTAGCGTCTCATGAGGTTAGAAAAGTAGAGCATGTAAGGACGTGACGAGAACAGATTTTTATGGATGTTGTTGTCAGATGTAGCTTCTTGTGTCTTCTCATTAGCACCAATATTTTATTTTACTGGGTTTGTTTAAGGCTTCTTTGTGGAACTTCGAGGTTGAAACTGACACGATGCGGAATGACTCGTCATTGCTCCTCAAAGCTACTTTATTTCTCCTTCCACGTCATATTGGGAACTTTCAAGCGCAATCACGGTAGCTACTGCAGAACGAACAACAGTCGGAAAGCAGTACGTACTTGGCTCACGCACATTGTAAATCATTTTTGGGATTAGTCGACTTGTCCGAAGATCCTGATTTTCAAGATCAGCCACTTTTGTGAAGGAGTCTTCAGGCTGGGGTTTTGAGAATTGTGTGTGAAGGAGTCCGGAGGTTCACAACGTTTGCGAAGATGAAGAAGCTCTGCGCTCTCGTGATGATTCTCCTGGTGATGGCATGTACGCCTTGCCATGGCCAGAAGGATATTTGCATCGTGGGTAGTGGAATGGGCGGGGCGTCGGTAGCTTATTTTCTGAAGGAGTATGCGCAGGCGCCTCTGCAGATTTCCATATTCGAGCAGAGCGATAGGGTTGGGGGGCGCATGTCCTTGGTAGAGCTCGAAGGGGACACATTCGAGGCAGGGGGTTCTGTCATCCACCCTAAAAACTTGCACAGTTTGAAATTTACGGAGCTCTTGGGACTGAATCGAACCACTGGCGACGACGATGATAGTTTCGGAATTTGGGATGGAACCCAGTTTGTGTTCCAGACCGCTCGTGCTGGCGATTCCATCTTTTCCAAGACCTTCACTCAGATTATGAATACGCTGTCGATCATGTGGAGGTATGGCCTTAGCTTGTGGAAGATGCAAACTTATACCAATGTAAGACTTTCCTGTCGCTTGACCCTCACTTGTTTCAAACGAATTTATTAGAATTGAAATCTAGGGATTCAGGGATTTTCCTCGGCCGCATCAGCAATTCTGGAGCTTCTAATGTTTTTAAGTCCCTGCACGTGTTTGGTTGGTCTTAGCTCTCAGAAACTTGAGTCATGCGTGATTTCATAATGCTTGTCGGGATCCTTCATTGGGTGGTTAGTACATGCCATGAATATTTCGGTTGCGAACTTTTATACCAATTAGTTGTGGATGCTCTGGATGCGCCGAAATTGATTCATTATTTTGTGCTGGATTTTTCGAACTGTAGGGAATGCTGGATAACTTTATGCAAATCTACAAAGATGATCGTCCGGCGTTTGACACAGTCGAAGAGCTGCTTAAATCGGTGGACCTCTACAACAGAACTCAGTACACTTTAGAAGAGTTGCTGCTGGAGGCGGGACTGTCTAGGCTCTTGATTGATGAGCTTATCACGGTAATTCATATTAATACCTCGTCTGTAGTTGCACCATACTCTGGAGTACCTCAATTTCACCGTTCTCGATTGTTCCTCGTGAATTCATGAACGCTACCAAGATAAGCATAGTTGCGGTTCTCGATGCCCTCTGCAGGTCACCATGCGGATCAACTACGGCCAGAATGTGAGCATAAGTGGAATGGCAGGGGCTGTCTCGATTGCAGGATCCCAAGGAGGGTTATGGGCCGTGGTTGGAGGTAACTGGCAGTTAGCAGATGGTTTGATTCGTCACACAAATGCCTCGTTGTCCTTGAACCACAAAGTGGTGTCCGTCACTGCCGTCGAAGAAAAGTACGAGTTAGCTTTCGAACAAGGTACTGCAACATGTGATGTTGTCGTGATGGCAACGCCATTGGATGAGTCCAAAATCACTTTTATACCCTCTGTCAATCTCCTCAAGCGACACATGCAACATACGTACACTACCTTTGTGCGTGGACTGCTGAATCCGGTACAATCTAGCAACCCATACGCCGTACGCCGTACCATTTTCTGGAGTTCCTCCGCTTGAAAACAGTCCAACATTCATGTCTGAGTTTTCATGCCTTCTGTCTAAGAAGTCTTGAGTTTTTTCCTTATCGAAAGTCCTGATTTAGCGTTGTTTAACAGGGTTATTTTGGCGCCACCTGCAATACTATCCCAGATTTGATTGGAACCAAGGAGGATTCAAAGATTCCCTTTTCTTCCATCAGCGTTCTCAAGGAGTACAATGCAACTGACAAAGCTTACAAGATCTTCTCTCGTGCTCCATTCACGGATGAGCTTCTCGACCTCATTTTCAGGTAAATCGTTTATTGGCAGCACGGTCCTCTCCAACTGCCGAGTACTGGTCCATGAACTGTGGTTGCTCTTTTGCACACTCCAACCATGGGTCTTTATTGAAGCGTGACCAGACTTACAATTAACTCATCTAATCATGTTGACCACCTGCCGCACAGCACCCACAGGAGCACCATTCGCATCGACTGGCCTGCATACCCGCACTATTCGGCACCTGAGAGATTCTCTCCTTACGTCTTGGATGGGAAGCATCTATACTACATTAATACATTCGAAAGTGCTGCGAGCGCTATCGAGACAGCTGCAGTTTCGGCACAAAATGTGGCTCGGCTCGTCCTCTCCCATCTCTCTGCAGGTAGCTTACGAACGCCAAGTGTTAAGGGCGTCAGTGTGCAGGATGTGGACGATGACCTTTAGGCCTGTGTAACGCATACTATTCAATCGTTTATAGATTCATCGTACCTTCCTGAGAACCTGCGAATTCGTTGGTTCGTGCTTACAAAAACTATCATTACCAGCAGGAAGTGTGACGGTGTTGTAACTAGTATGCCAACACTTAATGGTTACGACTGACAAGGGCAGATTCCGATCACATTACCGTCCACCTTTTCTCTCATCATAACCAAATAGAGTATGCAACGAAGGGCTTGCGTACCAGATAAATGAATATTCCAATAATAATAACTATAACTGCTAACAATAATGAGCAAAAACATCTACAAAACAGAGAACAACACATTCAAACTGCACATAAGTACCACTGCAAGTCCGTCCATGTACATTCATCCTCACATTTAGTCCAGACACACAAATCAGAAATAAATCTAAGCATGTACGGATAGAAACGTGTACACATCTTTACCTACACTTGCGTAGTCAGAAAATGTATTGCATAGCACCTACCTCTTAAAGCAGCCAATAATTCTTCCTACGTCCTCGTCATCTAACCTAACGCCACCCTACCACGAACACACAGTTCTCGCTCGATCCACCTCCTAATCAACTGATCGCCTCCACGTTTGGCATCTACAATAACTACCTAATACATGCGCCTCGCACATTTCTTACCGTTACAGTCCTTCTCGTAACAGTACGTATGATGCCACTGTGACTGCTAACTGCAACTGTTCATCGATCGCCAATCGCCCCTTTCAGACTTTCAGTGAAGAGACTGACAGGGCAGTCTTGGCCATCTGCTCCCGTCGGAACAACTCTACCAAGCTACTCGAAATTTACGACATGCCCGGCTTCAATTGCACAACCCTTGCCTCCACATTCTCATGCCTCCTCACAGCTCCACAGCTACGTCCACCAATCATTGGTTCAGAAGCTACATCGCTCCACAAGCTCGTTCACATAAACACGGCACTATCCGAAGCTTCTGGGGCTCCGAACGCGCGATACACACTGAATCCATCTTTAAATCACCTACTCAGCTCTCAAAGCTCTCGCGAACATCGTTCAGCTGGCATGTCCCAGATCTCCACAATATGAGACCGCGACCTGCTCCAGCTCCCCGAACATGGAAAACCGTCAATTCCAGGCTTCCACCACATGACACGGACCCCCCCCCCCCCCGCCCTCTCTCCCACGCACTCAACTACAGGTATATGTACATCGACCAGCCGGCACAGGCAGAAAAACTTCCCTAAAGCCGGAAATTACAGGATGTCTGAATAACATGGCACCACTATCTACGCAATAGCTGCTTTCTCCAAATTCCACTCATCCTCATTTGGGTAACGGCTAGCTGCAGATATTGCCTTCATCTACCATCACTCTGCCTTCAACCCCGCCCCCTCTCTACGTCAACTTGACGACACCGCTGCATTGTTCAGACCTTCCGCCCGATCTCTGCCATCGCCGCCAGCCTCCACCGACGTGGCATCCCCTGCTTCCGCTGAACCCCCAATGTCGTACTTGCACAGCGGACAAGACGCATTGATCTTGAGCCATTTATCAACACATTCCACGTGAAAATGATGTGTGCACACCAGCTCCCTCAACTCCACACCGTCCTTGTACTTGCCCAGGCAGATGCAACACACAGCATCGTCGGCGGACACCCATCTTTCCTTCTCTGTCCCAGCTGCCACCCACCCTCCCTCGCCTGCTCCCTCACTATCCGAATCATTGCCATCCTTATTTAATTTTGACTCGTTCGAAGCCTTCGCTTTGAACTTGTACGTCGGCAGGGCAGCAATCGCCTCTTGCGAGGCTCCTCGGGGCTGGTTCTGGTCCTCCCGAAAACCCAACAGTGCAATTATGCACGGCAAGCAGCAGCAAATAGTGGCGCAAAGAATAAAAGGCATCGCATATCCGATGCAGCTGAACGTAAGCAACACGATGCATAACCTGCCAAAACCCCACTCACAACCCTCTTACTGTCCATTCTTCTCCCCACAACCTTTGCAACTTCACTACCATCTCCGACCCACACCACAATTCACAGGCCACCGCCACAACCAACCAACCTTCCCACAACACCACACTGCGTCACCTACCTGTACAAATTTGGAGCGTCGTGTGCTGCCGAATGTCCACCAAATATCCAAACGTTGCCAACCACGAACCAAATCGCAAAAAAACAATCCAACGCAATCTTGAACCTCTCAACATAAATCCCAGTCCTGCACGCGCACCAAACATTTCTCAGACCACTCCCACACATTCAATAATATCGCCTCCCTACTCGTCCAACAACTTCACCACACACTTCACCTACACCAACCCCGAACCCTCACCACCTTCTCCGCTAAGTTCTACACACCCCAACTTCACATTTCTACGGAGTTGCCCAAACCACTGCTCTCACGGATTCCACTTCCAATTCCCTATCAACCACTGTCCATGTTCACGTCCATGCAAACATCCGGAACACCGTGACTCAGCTCTTCCACCACCACGACAAATCAACACCATCGACCTTGCATCCTGCAAATACTGCTCGACTTTCGTACCTCTCCCCGCTGCTACTTGACACTTGTCCGACACCACTCCTTTGCCTGCTTCCATGTGCCATGTCGTCCCGTGAACCTGGTGTTAATGTCACGTACGAACTGCCACCCACACCTCCGCTGGATGGATTCGGCTCAGACGCGCTCGTCGATGCCGGCTCTCTCGTTCTCATGTACTGATGTGTGTACCGCCAATACAGGAGGGGCAGGGTTGCCAGGCAACCAGCTGCGTATCCGGCGACCCACACGTGTAGAGGGGCTTGTGGATGCTCATTTCTCGACAGCACCAGCACGATGATGGATGCAATAATTTGACTGATCGTGATCGTCAGTTCGATGCTTACCCAAAGTCCCGAATTCAAAGGACTCGGTCGCTGTCGCGCGCTATGACTACTCGTATTTCCTGATCTCAAAGAAGAATTGGACGTGGTTGACGCAAATGACGGCAACCCTCTGAATGAGTTGGCCGACAGACTTCTCGACATACCCAAGCTTGGACTTTCTTGTTGCGCCTCCGCTGGCGAAAATGAAACGTGTGACGAGCTTGTAGGAACGCTGGAAGTAACAGGTTGGATTGTAACCACATGTTCAGCAGGCGTGGTTGATCCACTACCGGGTAGTTGATCCATTAGCAACGGCGATGTGTCACTGCTCTGGGCTTCAAGATCCACCTCTTCACACCGACCGGCCATGGAAGTCCAAAATGCCACCCCTCCTGTCTAAGGGCGGGGGCAGGCTTGCGTCGACCCACCCGTCTTGAAATGCTGCGCCACCGACGATTTCACCCCACGATTCCGCGCCAGCTCCTCGCACCTTCCGCTCACAATATTACCCACCCCACGCCTCCAGCTCCACGACTTCAGATCCTCAACGACCCAGCACACACTTCCCGACAAACTCTGACCACGGCGATGTCGTGTGCCGGCTTACCATGCACCAATCAACAGGGCACTTAAGAATGCCGAATACCCCCGCCCTTCACCGTAACGTGGCCCGACCGGCAACGCAACCCAACGTACGGAACAGATAACGAATTATCGATACTCGTCGAAAAGCAGGGGAGATCAACTGATGCGGATCCCATCTTACACCATCCTCCAAGTCTCACGATTCAAACCATCGAATTGCCGCTCTCACTGTCAACCCGCAAACCCTAATCTCAACCCACACCAACAAAACCCATTCGTCAGATCCAATTCGGCTTCCACACCCACATCCACCACTACGTTGGGACCCACCGTATACACTCCGACCGCGCCGAAGTTCCCATATTGCATGACACCAAGCAATTCAGTACCCACAGATACTCCCCCACAGGATCCCACTTGGTTTGGGGTACCAATCTCACCACGACTCCCACACACAAACACTTAGAAATCACTCCAGGTAACCATCAGACTAGTCACGCAAACTCACTTCGCGGATCCTACGTCCCCAGCGCATGAACACCGAAAAATTCACGTCGCACTCCACAAATTCGGGCATGTCCATACAATACTACCCCACCTACCAACACCCCAAATTCACCATATTACACACCTTTCTCTCGACCCCCAAGATCACAAAAACCAGCCCAGGACCACCAATCCTACCTGCTGCTCCTCGTTTTCCATGTCGTCCCTAAACCTCTAACCAATCGTCTCACCAGTCCACTCCACAACGGTAACCATCCCCTCCCTCTACATCACCACATCAGTGAACCCCAAACCCTAACCAAACTCTTCCACACATCTAAACCGAATCTCACACAATACCCCACAACAACCCTCCACGGAAAGAACACACTCGCATCGGAACACTCATCTCCGCACCACGAACAAACGACCTCTGATCATCCCAGCCCAGTCCAATCGTAATACGACAACGACGACGACGACGACGACGACGACGACGACAACGACGCCAGGCAACCCAGGAAAGGAGAGGGTCCCCAAACCCAGCCAAAGACGAGACGCACCTCACGGTAGCACCCAGCAGCGGAGCACTCCCATCCACAGGGGTAGAACGGCAGGCAACGAAGACCTAGAGCTCGAATCCCACGCCGAGACCTCACGACGTGTGGAGTGGGTGGGGGGAGAAGCTCGAGAGAGAGGGAGTGCGCCGTGTGGCACAGTTTCTGCGTTGATTTGGGAGTGCGTGAAGTTGAGTTTCCAATTGCATCGACACTGTGAGCATCTACTCACTTGGGGTTCAATCTGAGGTGCATCTGCATGGTGATTGTTGTGGTGAGGTGGTGGTAGTGGTTCTGAGTTGGTAGTAGTTGTGGTGTATATTTTGCTGCCTCAGCTTCTGCAGCGAAAGTGGGATGGCGAGCGGTAGAGCGGTGACCTCACAACGACAACTCCGACGCGACTCGGTGTGCGTACGCGGCATTAGATCACCCTCCCACCTCAGTCACTCACTCCTTCACTCACTCTCACTCACTCACTCATTTTGCTGATTTTTTCTTTTCCCAGGTCTAGTTTTTATGTTCTGCTTAAGCCGCACGTGGAGCCGGTTCATCCTGCTTGGCCCGTGTTTTTGAACTCTGGGACACGTGCCACTCTTGTAGATTTGTGTCGCAGAAACCTCACTGTTCAATCGACTGTCTCCGCCATTTTTGGCGGTCGGATCGCAGCTGCCGCTCAGAGGCGATAATAACCGTTGATATGATTTCTTGGAACGGTGGGAGGGAACGTAGGGGAACCATGGTTGTGGCAGGCAGGTTGGAAGGTGGGCACGTTGTGAACTCAGAAGCCAATCTTTATTGGGCCCTCACTGATCCACATTCGCATTTATGGGCGCTGAATTTTGTTCATGGGCTTCCTCACTATCCCACTTTTCAACCATCCCTCTCGCTTTTTCTTTTTCTTTTTCTTTTTTTCTGTTGTTATATACAAGAGCACTCGATGTGCATGATACTTTTTTTTTCAAGTTGAATTCTAGGAACTCATACAAATTTTACTTAGTATTAAAATATTTAATTAAATATATTATAAACTATATATTTCATAAACTTAAATTAAAATTTGTTTGAAATGTTTTTAAAAAATTTTACATTGCATTAACAAAAAATATAATAATCCAAAAAAGGAAAAAAAACTGAATATTATTTTTTAGATAATTATTAAAATTATATATTATGTGCTATTTTAATAAAAACATTATTTAAGATTAATGGGTTTTAGTTTTACAACAAAAAAATAGTCCTAAAACCATAGTAATGCACAAAAACCTTAGATTTGAATTAAATATATATATTTATTATAAATTTACAATGATTCAATCAAACTTTGTTGCTTTTTTTTTACCACAAATAATTACATTACTAAATTTATTTTATATTATAATATACAAATAGGGTATTTTAAAGCAAGATATACCTTATACATAATCAATTTTATTTCTAAGAAAAAATAGGATTATATAAAATTAATATGACATGTTAAATAATTAATTAGCTTACTAGTTATTTAATCTTGTAAAAAATTATTTAATCTTATCATGACTATTTTTATTCAAGAAATAAAAGTATAAAATATTATAAAAAATAGTTACGATTGAAGTATTGTTGGAAAAATATAAAATCAAATTCAAATTCAACATTATATATTTGAAATAGATCTAAGTTACAAACTTGTTTAGTAGCATTATTTATAATATTTTAAATAATAAAATTAAATATATATATATATATATATATATATAAATATATATACAATCTCAAAAGAATTAAATAAAATATAATAAAATAAAGAAAAATAAGATTTTATAATTACAATTACATATAATATAATTTATAGAAGTTTATAAGTTATACTATCTCTTATATAAATAAGTAAGTAAAAGTGAAAGTAGAATAAATAACATTATAGAAGATATTATTTTAGATAAATTGTTATTGGTCAAAGAATTGGCTCTTCATATGTAATAAGGCCAAGAGATAAAGTAAAGGAGTAGACAAAAGATCTTAAGAATATAGAAAATATGCTAAAAGCATATTTTTATGGTAGATAAGAAAATCATAGATAGTCTCAATAGAATATTGGATAGATGTATTCATCAAAAAATGGAAGTTATCTATTAGGCAGTAGCTACCCCCTATAAGTAATGAATGTTGGAAGTAAAAGATATCTTTTTCTATACTTTGTAAGCAACCTTGTTGATGCTTTATGTTGTGACTTCAAAGTTCTTTTTTCTCAATAGGTTATGGACCCATTCAACTTTAATTGTAAATTTTGAAGCTCTTTGAAGTCTTTCTTATTATGAAGAGTAGATCTTATAGTTGTTGTTGATGTTAGGATTTAATATCTTCTAAATCCTCTTTTGCATCGAATTATTGATATAATTTTACTCTTTTTTGTTATTAAGTACACTCATTGTCTTGGAGGTATCAACTACCTTAAAATGATTTCATAGAATATTAGTATTGTGTTTCTTTGCTTAGTTACATCATTGATGTACTAATATTGGGCTTCTATGTGTTAAATTTTTTAAAATATTTTTTTATAATGATAAGAAGATAATTATAAGATTATAAGTATTTTTGTAAGAATTGATATTAATTAAAGAGTGAAATTACTAGTATACTCACAAAAGATGTATTTTGGATTTTTAAAGCATCATCTTCTTGTTGATTTTAAAAGCTTTATATTCTCTTTTTTTATTTTTTTTGATAATCTCTTCATTAGACATGGCTTCATGTGAATATGAGGGCTTGAAAGTAATTTAAGAAGTTTAGACATAACAAATTTTACCATTTGAAGAAAAAAATGGGACTTTTTTTGGCTTTATTGGACCTTTGGAACATTATTGATGAAAATGAAGAGTCTCAATGATTGCAACAAATCTTGAAAGTGCCAACTTTTCACATGTAATTACTTGCAATGGACCAAGAGAAGCATCGAAGACTCTTTGCAACACCTATGAGAGTAAAAACCTTGCCAACATTCTATAGATAAAGAAAAAATTCTTAATGATAAAGATGGAAGAAAGAGATGATCTCATAGCTTATATCAATAAGATAAAAGCACTTATATAGCAACTAGTAATTGTTGATAAGCTAATTGATGATAAGGATATTGTATTGATATTATTAAAGATAAGAACTTGATGAAAGAAAATAAATAAGTAATATTTTTTTAAAGAAGTATGATAAAATAGAAATAAAAAAATTATGTATATTAAAAAAAAAAAAAAAACTAACAAGGCTATTGCCAAAAGTCAATAAAACTATAGATTCTTGAAACTAGACTAGAAGCAAGAAAGAAGTTAACAAGAGTAAAAAAGGCTTTATTATTGCATCTATATATATTATCTACATAAGAGCCATATAGTGACATTCTATAAGACTTCTAAAATGTGTTGACTTTGCACAATATGTATGTTAACTTGCAAGACAAGTTTTTTATATTGATGCCACATAGTTAGCTTGTTTAGCAAGCTATTAACATGTGAAGTATGTGATTAATTTGTTAACCAAGTTTCTAACCTATCAATCAACTACAAACATATGTAAAATCAAAACAACTTCTATAAAGTTTTAAGGAAGCTTTCTTAAAATTTATTATAAAATTAATCTACTTATATCTACTTCTACCTATTCATATCACGTAAATAATAATTATAATAAATATATGTCTGTGATATTATCCCTTCTTCTAAAAATAAGTTCTATGAGGAGCGATGATTATATGTCAAGAAAATCTAAGATGCAATGAATTGTATTTGTCACATACTTTGATCTCTATTTTTTTTTGAAGTAATTGATAGGTCCTCTCAGCCATCAATAATGTTCCATTTTAGAGCAAGAAGACCACCTTATTATTTGATCATTGTTGAGACCTTCATAACTTCCTTCAAATAAAAACTTTTTAACACCATCAAGAGTCATTTCTACCTCTAATAAAATCATAAAACATTGAGGTTTTATTCCTAGGTTGTGATATCAAATGCATTATATGTCAACATTTATTCAAGAAAAAACATATTGCTCTTGAAGTTCTTCATTTTTAATATGTTCTCTTAAAGGTTGTGATAATCACAATGTCTTATCTGATAAGTCAACAAAATTTTAAATCTTACACCAAACCTTAAATAAATCTTAAATCCTAAATTAAATCTTAGATAAATCTTAAATCCTAAATCAAAACCTAGAAAAATCTTAAATCCTAAACAAAATCCTAGAGAAATTCTAAATCCTGAACCAAATCCTAACCAATTCAATTTTATCCTAGTACTATTTAAAACCTCAATATCTATCAATCAAACTATCAATCTTATTTAAAAATTTACAAAAAAATTCAATAACTAAGTTAATAATAAGTATACATAATTTGAAGATAATTGCACTTATCAAATAGAAGAAAAATCCTAAAATCTACTTAGGTGTTGGTTGACCTCTTATTCCAATCTAGATATTGAACTTCCAATACCAATATTTTTTTTTCAAACTATTCAATTATTTTTAAATTTTACATATTGTAGCAAATTAGGTCTATTATCCTCACACATAAATTTTATCCCAATCAAGCTAGTAAATTTTTGAAGAACTTAAAAATCCTAATTGTCTCTCAAAGTTCAATTATCAAGACCTTAACCTACTTGAAATTCAATAACCTTCAATTCAACCATTTGATTAAATTCAAACTTATAGCATGCACTCCAGACAACTATTTTCTTAAGTTCTCAAATTTTGAATTATAAAACTATTACCGAACTCATGAAATTCTTCAAAACATAATACTCTTTTTATTTCACAAATTCTAGAGTCATCCAAAAAAATTGTAACTTTGCAATGCTCTAGCAAAGTTATTACACATCCAAATTACTCAAAACTAATGCTTAAAGAAATATTTTTAAGTTTGCTCTTTAATCCCACTCTCTAGGAAATTATATTCATAAGTTCTCAAAATCCTTAGAAACAATAGACTATAGTTATTCTAGAATGGATAATGGCTGAAGAAGTCTATAAGATCAATGACAAGAAATTTTTAATCTTAAGTACACATCACAAGATTGTACGAAATCTTTGACTATCTTCTACATTTAGGACCACCAAAAATCCTTGGATATTAATTCTAAAGTCTTATTGTACCTAAAATGTTCTACTATTAGAAAATTGTAACGAGCTTAAAAAACATGTAATTGAGCTTCACCTTCTAAAACATATAAGTGTCCTTTGAAATATAAAAGATTGTTCTTGAATTCAATTTACAAGTATTATGAGACTTTGAAGGATTTTCTTTAATATTACAAGTAAGAAGATCAGAAGACATACTTGACTAAACTTATTTAATGAAATTTGAATCAACAATCAATATTGATTTCATTGCTCAAAGATAAAAATGGTCTGGCTTCAAAAGAATTATCTGTTGATTACGAAAGAGTAGGATCTCCTTCCTTTGATGTAAGATAAGATTGTTTAGAGAGTACATTTG